GGAGGAGAAACCAGTATCACACCATCTCCACGAACAAACAGAAATGGGATTGTCCGTTTTGTAGTCTGAAATACACAAATCAATCAATGAATCAAACCATAAAAACTAACTGTGACATGGTAAGAGGAAAGAGGTAGGTTATAGAATCAATATGTAAAAACACAAACAACCACTACCCACTAGAACCAGAAAAAGACATCATACCCGAACTATCTCTTCGTATGTTTCATCATCAATCTCAATAGTTGTCACGATTTCTTCAACATCTCCAAGAATCATATTAAGGTGCTGATCATAAGCCTGTAAAGCAAGCAAGAAACTAGTAGATTTAGTTCCCTAGGATCATAATGGCAGATAGACAGTGTTAAGTGAAACATGTTTTTTTTCACAAAAAACAATTTTAGTGCAAACCAGTGTTAGAAAATTGATTGAGACACCGAGTTGACCCTAATCAAAGCAAAAAAAATCATTGTATTTCGGCCTGTATTTTATCAAAAGAACTTTTATGAACTGGACATTGACATTAAAAACTCAAATGAAAAAAAATAGATACTACTGAAAAGAGGGGGGCAAACAAAAGGGGAAACATGAATTTAAAAACGTAAGGGTTCACACGCTTGCATTGTCAATATTTTCATACCTACTAACAAGTAACATCACCGTATTCCAGTAATAGCCTGCTGTTATAAGGGTTTGGGGTAAGCACATGAGTAGCATTTAATGATAGCTTTCTACTTTACTAACAACATATTATTAATTTCTCCTAAACATAAAGAGAATAAGTGAATACCTTTAAAATGTTTTATATCTGTTTCTTATGGAAAGTGTGGGTGGTATATCAAAGTTTCAAAGTTAACCTTCAACAATAAAAAAGAAAATGGGTTAAAAAAAGAAAGAACACAATGCATTTGTCAACTTTTTTTTAAAATCCTTTTGAAAATGAGGCAAATGGAAAACTCAAAATAAGAAAACTGAATTACATGTCAAGTTGAAAGGATAAGCATAGCATCATGTTTACAGAGCAAGTGTTTATCTTTTCCCAAATGAATCATGAATGCTTAACCACACAAAGACTGAAGAAGCTTTAGTCTTTGTCAAAACCACATAGCCTCTGTGTAAGTTTTCTGGTAGTTACCAGCAATAGTAAGACATCAAACCCAAGATAACTAAGCTAGAAACAAGTCTAAAATAAATGTAGAGAGAAACATGTTTCTTCATCTCTATACAAAAGAAGGCTAAAATCAATCTACAAATTATGAAAAACTACAGAAGACAAAACAGGAAAATAAAGACTTACATGAAGCTTTCCGCGAAGTTCGCGGTCAGAACGGAGCTTGACATAAATTCTCTCATCAAGACTGAGCCTGATAAGATCCAGTGGTTCCTTCACTGTACTTTCTTCTTCACTCCCCATTATCTAGGTGCCTTTTGCTATTCCTTACTGTCTTTTTAAATATACACACAAGCATTATTTCTTAACTATTTGCAAGGATTCATGATAGAAAATTAGAAATTACTAGTATATACAATAAAAGAAGTACGCAAATAAATCAATATATCAAATGCAGAACCCTCCAATATATATCAATATACTCCGTATTATAATTCATTTCTACCAGCAAATGCAGAACCCTCCACAATATATCAATATACTCCATAGAATGCATCACCAAACTCACTGAAGAAACACTGACATGAATAAGGGGAAGCTCTCAAGTAAAGATGCACTCCTCATGCCGAATTATATGTTGCACTTCATAATTTCTATTCTTTTTCTGTTTCCAATTATATGTACTATTGTTGTGCCATGAGAGTTGTGCAGAGAGTTAACCACAACGAAACTCTAACCACACCAATACATATATCTATTTCGTGATTTCAAGTAACAAAACTGAAAACTTATTTCACACAAGATTGGAGAAGTGAAACTAGCTAGCACTCCCACTCTATAAATTTCACTAAAAATGTTCCATTTTCAAAAAGCAGCTATCCAGCACAAAATCTCCTTGTGCCAGGACAATAACAAAAACAAACATTTCAAAGAGCACTCCTAATATTAAAGACAATCTCCATCTCTGTACATATAAAAGCTGGAGCGCCTGGGAAAACTGTTCCCGCCTGATAATGATGACGGCATTATGACATCATCATGTGCCACGTGCTCACAGTTAATCTGCAACTGTGAGTGGTGTAGACTGCGTCGGACCAAAAAGATGGATAAAATAAGAAGACAGTAAGAATGGACCAACCGCAGGAAATTAGACGACGGGCGTGGTGAAGACTGCGTCCGACCTAAGGGGAAGAGATGAGCGGCAGAGAGAGATGGTAGGTCGGATGATTTGTTACACCGGTTGTAGGGTTAGGCTATTCCAGATCTTGGGCATGTGGATTTCTAATTGGACCGGATCAAACATACTTTTGCCCAATCATTTAAATGATTTAGAGGCCGTTTGACAACACTGTTTTTCGGTTTATCAGATTTATCAGTCAACTTTTTCACCAAACATGTAAGTTTTGCTTTCGCGCGCTGAATTGTGTAATTAGCATAAAAAGTAAGGTTGAATTTACTTTTCTGATTGTATTGGCTGAACTTACTGTAAATAACCATTTTAGCTATATTTACACCAATTACACATACTCCCTCCGGTTCTTAATTAAGTTCCTAGTTTGACTTCACACATATTAAGAAATAAATTTGACTTTACTGTGGAGTGCACTATTTGAACACTGTTTGGCACTTTTGAACACTATTTGACACCGTTTGACGCTGTTTTGGTGTAAATCATTTGCCAAATAAGGAAAGGTTTGAAGTAGAAACTTTAATATGGACCATCCCAAAAAGGAAAGTAGGAACTTAATTACGGGGGCGGAGGGAGTAATTTTTTCTTAATTTTATTAATAAACTATATTTTAAAATATTTTTTTCTTAAACCAGCCAATGCAGCCACTTCAGCAAGAACTTCATAAATTTCAACAGAATCAGTCAAATCATTTCATTTTCGTGCTACCATACGGGCTCTTAAATTATTTGCATAAACAATGATTTTTTTTACGTAGTAAAATAAAACGCAAGTTGAATCCAGTGGCGGACACAGGGGGTGACAAAGGGGGGCTGCTGCCCCTCCAAAAAAAAATCTAGGTATATTTATCCCAAATTTTTTAATGTATATGTATTTGTATGTATATTTTTGTACTGCCGCCCCTGCTACCGGAAATTCATGCGTCCGCCGCTGGTTGAATCTCCCTTGTTTTATAAAGTAGTCAAGCAGAGTGTAGTGTACCATGGTGACATTAAATAATTGAGAATTGAGTAAGCAAAAGATAAATAAATGTTAAATAATCACACAAAACTCTCTAAAAAAGAAAATTGAAAATATTTTATTGGTCGAATGAGATATTACTAATATACTCCGTATATGATTAAGGAGTCCATTAGATTATGTGTTTATTAATTTTGTTTCAAGTATTGAGATGTCGTGATATTCAATCTTTTATTTCTAAAGATGGTGTATTACATTTTCCAAAAAAAAGATGTTGTATTATAAATAATGAGCTCTAAGGCTCGTGTTTATGTTGGATCAGCACTAATGCATGTTGAACTAGAAGATCAGAATGAAGAGGGTTTCCAACTTTCCATATCAACTGACTGTCTCTTGACTCTTTTCTATCTACCGATGAAGGAAAACGTATAATAATCTACTTATCTACAAATAATGAAAATTGATACGTACTAGTGTTACATAGCACTTCTAATAATTTCATAGTAAACATCCTGAAATCCTGAAAAACTTTACGGTAGAGTATTTGTTTTTTTAATTACACAGTACAAGACACAACATTTGTCATCCCATCTCCGTTTGCTTATTGTCATTGGCGATATTAGAATATAATTATTTCTCATTGTCATTGGCGACATAATGAGCTATTTGTGTCGTTGATTAAATGGATTCCGAATCTCTGCCTTGTTTTAGAGCAAGACACAGTGCTTGCATTTTGGAAACCGTCCGATCAAAATTTCGATGACCAGAGATTTTGAGATTCACATCTCGAGGCGTCATTTTTTACATCCGACAATCTCTCTGCCGCAAGGCAGAGTATCTCAATCCTACTAAAATATGGAGTATATGAAAGTGTGACGAACTAAATCGCCTAATTATTTGTCAACTACATCACATAAGTTATTTTCTACATCTACTTTGGTACACTTATATCCAGTGGTTTACACATAATGCTTTGAAATAAATGAGACAAAATGTATTGTGGATATGACTACTCATATGAGTGTGGAACAAGAAAGAAGTACAAGAAATATGGAACCTTGTCAACCTACAGAGTAATTGTTACTCCGTATTATATAATCAAATTAAATTTAAGTTAAGTAAGTTAAATCAGTTGGATATCACAATATCACAATATATGTTAATGCTTCATGAGATGCTGTCAACACAACTTTTCCTTAAAAGGACACTGGGCTGATATCGGCCAATTTTCATGGTGTGTAGAGAGAAACCAAAATCTCAATTCGGAAAATCAGCTCAGGTTTCAAATTGTTCCAAGTTTAAAGCCCATTTTTATGAGAAAACAGAACCCGCCAATTGATTCCGGTCCTATTTTAGCAAAACCCATACCTATTTGGATCAATTTCGGTCTGGAGTGAAAATATAAACAGCTAGCTTCATTCCAGTCCTATGTGCCATATATAGCACTTATTGGCTCTCCTTATACATGCAAATATGCAATGCACAAAGGGCATGTTTGACACAACTAGCTGAAAAGATACTTTTGTGAGCTTTTTAATAGCTGTTAGCTTTTAGTAACTGAAAAGATCTTAAAAATAAAAGGTGGTAGCTGTTTGATAAAAAGCTGACTGTTTGATTTAGTTCGGTCTGGTATACAAGCTGTTAGGGTTAATTAATACTAAAAGTCACTAGCTTTTCTTAGATGCTACTCCCGGTAGCATCTCAAAAAAGATCTTTTATTTTTTGAAAAACTCTTAAATATTGTCATGCCAAACACACAACTAAAAGCTTTTAGGAACTTTTTGAACAGTACAAAAGCTAGAAGTCGGGGGCTTATGCCCACCAAACATAGCCAAAATATAGAAATCAATAAATTTGAATATTAGCTTCTACCCATTTCATCCGTATAAAAAACGTCTAAAGGTACTAATACTTCAAGAGTTATCTCACAAAAGATCGCACAAAAACAAGTCTGGATTTGAATGGATCGCGGAAAAGCCTGAAGAACAACCCATTCTAGTGTTCTGCATATATGTTAGTCTAACCTTTGTTTCAGCCTTCCCCAGCCCTTCCACCTGCTGCAAAGAAACAAACCCCAAACCCTTCTCCAAGCAAGCCCCCTCACTCCATTCCTTATCCATCTCTCCATCCCCCCCCTCCCCAAACCTTGTCATTTCTGGTTTTTGGTACTTTCACATTGTTTTGTCACACTGTCCTGCTCCAGCACACTTGCATAGAAAAACAGTATTCTAAAGTTGGTGAGATGAAAATGTAGTCATCAGATCATCATGCGCATAAAACACAATATTGTGGTTGCAGCTCGAATCCTCCTCTCCTGCTCAACTAAAATGTGACCTAATTTTATTTTTATTTACTCCACTGATCGTCAATCTTTACTGAATTTTTTTCATATTAGAAAAAAGAAACATTTTTCTAATAAAATAAAGCTGATCTACCCAGACAAAGAGGACCAAAAGAGGAGATGGCTATCATCCATACTGCCACAGTACTACTAGAAGATAAGGAAAACTGCTGTTTTGGCGGTGAACTGAGACTCCAACTGGTTTCATCCCACTCAAGCTTTATTATGTTTTTGGGCCAGCAACTGGTTTCTCCTCAGACTTGTTTAGGCTATTCAATATACCTTCAAGCACCTCATCTCTGCAATCTGCGGTTTGATCATCAGAGACAAATGAATATGACTTTGACCCCATTCTGCAGTTCCTCTTCCCAGAGGAGGAGTTCATCAATACAGTGGAAGTACTGTCAACATTAGAATAAGAAGAAGAAGAAGATGATGATGATGATGAAGAAGACAGCGGCTTTGAGGAGCATTCAACAACCGTCACCCCCCCATCATCAACAATTCCCTCCTTCCTACTGTACCACGAATCAAGGATCTGTAACAAAGAGCTCTCTTCCTCCTTATTTGTTCCAACAGTTTTTCTGGATGTTTCTTCAGATTTTGTCTTCTCTTCATCCAAGTCTGAAAAGCTATCATCATCATCATCATCTGACAGCGGTTCGTACTCAATCTCATCAACCTTCTTTGTCTTTTTTGTTGAAATTGGCCCAAGCTCCTCTGCCCAGGTAGAGTAGCAACCAACGTCATAATCAACCCTCTTCCTTGAAGCATCTAGCAGCATTTTTCTATCAGAACTGCTTTCTTTAAAACAAAACTCGTCAGCAGTTGAACTTTCTGGAACCGCTTTACCTGAAGGAATGATATGGTTTGACTCCACTCTTATCCCAGGAATTATATTAAGAAGGTTCACCAACTTCTGATATCCAAGCTTCTGCAAATCCAGCGAATACCCATGTGTTTCGAGGAAAAGCTTCCTGAAGGATCCTAAATTGTACCCTTCTGGGTATTCCTTCACGACATCCTGCACAAGCTTCATACAGTCAATGAGTATATCATTTCTAGACTTGCCGCCAAAGGAGCTCTCTTCCAAAACAGGTGGAGAGACTGAATTTGGAGGGTTTTGGCATTTATTATTCTCTCCATCTTGTTCCTGTGACTTTGTCAAACTATTAGTCAGGGAATGGGTGTGTTGAAACAGCCCACTCAGCCCAGTTGAGCTGTGGGAAGAAGCATCATTTACTACTGCTTTTAGAGCAGGCTGAGATAGCTTGAAAGGGAAGGTCCTATGGATGCGTTCTCCCACCCATTTCTTATCTGATATCAACAAATCTACCAGATGAAGAAGATCACTGTCACAAAGTGATCTGAGAACTGAAGGACCATGCGCTTTAAGATTCTGTGACAACTGCAACCTGATACAAAGCCCCAAAATGTATCAAGAACCATATAAAATGGACTTTGAAGGGAAATTAATTTATCATAACTGAATAACAAAAGCAACATCTAGTTATGGGGAAAGAACGAAAGATGGAATTCAAATATTTGGTTATTTACTACATTGTCACTTCCTTCACCCTTGAACCAAAGGAAGCAATAAAATGTATACTAAGTGAATAAAACCCAATAAAAAGAAGACAGGAAAATGAGAATATGTCTGATAATCTCATAAGACGCGTGAAAAAATAGTTATTCGGCTACTGTGGCAATTGGCCTATGTGTTATGGGATTTGGGGGCTGGTTGAGCAAATAGTTTAATAGCTATACAGCCAATACTGTATATGAACAGGGAAAAACAAGTAAATTTAAGAAGTGGAAATGATGGTCACAGAACACTCAATGTAAGTATAAAACAATAACTAGCAAAGAGCTACCTAGTCCTTGAATGTATAACAAGGGTAGAACCTTGTTTTGAATCCAGGAAAGCCTCCATATCCTTCCAGAACGAATCCTTTGAAAAAATCTCATGTGTTTGGGTACTTGTTTTATTTTCGGTGGCTTTCTTGTCAGGTTCTGGATTTGAGTTATCTTCGCGACATGGACTTTTCCGAGATCCAAACCAATTCTTAATACGATTAAAAAAACCAGATTCTCTGCTGGTCTTATCTACAATGTATGGATGAGAACTTGATGTGGTTTTGTCATCCATTTTTTCTTCAGCTCCAGAATGCAAAGAACGATCCAAGCTTTTGATGTTTTCGGACAGACTCGTTAATTTCACATCTGGTTCCTTAATTTTTTTCTGTTCAGCAGGTATCTCATCAGAGCTGTTAGAGCTTACCTCTATTGCATCGTTTTCTCTAGTCCCAAACCACTTTCTCCAAAATCCTTTTAAAATCCCTTGTGAGTGCACATGGGAGCTGCTATCCTCTGTACTCTGCAGCTGGCTCCCACTTACTTCAGTCTTTGTAACATTTATTCTTGCAAGGGGTGACTTCTCTGTTATAGGATGTTCTTGTGCCTTCGGCAAAGGACATTGTATGACTTTAGTAGAGGGATCTTGCACTTTCTGTGACAGGGTTTCCACCTTTTGTACAGAGTAAGGAGTTGGTAATACCGTTCCGGTTGAGCTTTCAGCAGAGGAGATATTAGTGTTGTCGGGTCTATTACGAGAAACAGTTGGGTCAACAGCTATGCCTAATGATCCACACTCATTTTGCTCAGAAGATTTTGAATTTACACCATGAACCAGAAGTTGATTACCACTCGGTTGTAGCTTTAAAATTTGTGGCATGGATAAGAGAAAACGAGAAAACTTTTTATACCCATAGAAGTCTTTATCAATACTCAGATTACTTTTTGCCAGTTCAGCACGGAGATCTGTAATAAGAATTCCTTTGGAATTAGAACCCAAGATATGGCGAATATACTTCAATACCGCCTTTGGGATTGGGCGGGGATTTGGATCTGACTTAGAATCGGATGATGGGTCCTCAGTGTGGGGTGACTCCATAACAGCAAATGGGTCTTCAAGGGGTGCTTTGTAATGTCCATACCAAGAACCGCAGGGGCCATCTGGTGGATGATTAAAATGTTTCCCGGTAAGGTCCTCACCTCTGAGCAAAGCATTCCATTGCCACATTATACTGGCAGCACTGTATAGAGAGCCGGACACCTTTTCCGGACCGGCAAGCAATATATTGTAGTTGTTCATTCTTAGCCGGTGTAACACACCAGCAAACCCACTATCACCAGTGATCAAGAAAAGGTGTGCAGGTGGTGGGTTTTGGGATACCCAATACATAAGATCCACAAGAAGAGATCTATCTGCACTGCTCTTTCCACCTAAATTTATTGAATTATTAAGACTGCATTCACAAATGATTGAGACTCTTTTCACACACAACATATACAGAAAATGAAGAGCGGTGACAGAAACTTGTTATGAACGTATTAAGGAACAAGACCTATTTTCCCCTGAGAAATGAGAGCTTGAGAGCTATATAACTCAGAGCTATATAACTCTGTCTGCCAAGTGAAAGCCATATTCCATGATGAAGTAATTAACAGATTACATAAATGAAGTCTTTATATCTATCCATTGATATTTGTTGATCACTAACAATAATAATAGCAATAATGCGATTAATATACACGCTCTCTATCCCAAATTAATTGTCTTACTCACTAAATTAGACCAACCAAGCTCTCATTTAATTTCTAAGTTTATGTAACAAATTCTTTTCATATTAAAGTCAGTTTTTGCCACTAAATAAAATTCTGTGCATTAAATTTTATTTTGGAATACTAGCTTAGATATTAGAAAAGATGACCAAAAGGGGACTAAAACATGATGAGGGTGCAAAAATGGGACCATGATTTTTTTTGTGTGACACTCGACTAGCATACAAATGCCATATTGATTGGCAGAAGAAGCCAGTTGAGGTTTACCAGCCAGAAAACCCGGCGACTCCATGGACAGAGATGCTGTTTCCATGGTTGGTTAAGAAGGCAGAGACAGAGGAGTGCAGAGAAGGAAGAACGGGTCATGGGGGGGGGGGGGTAAAGTAGAGAAGAAATTCAAACTTCTACGTTTGAAATTCAAAATAACAGCACCTTCTTTTGCAAATTTATCATGAGTCAGCAATTTCTTACATGTTATGTAAATGATGCAAGTAAGTTGGAAGAAAGGTGGGCACAAAGTAGGGAACTTTTACCATTAGGTATGTGAGTGAGGTTGATTCCGGTAGAAGACAGGGCCTCCTGATTGGCTCGCGGGAGCTGAACTATATCACCGAATGCGGTGATTTGGATGGGACCCTTGATGCCGCTTGCCCTGACGGCGGCAGTGATGCTATGGGCGACCCTGAACACATTGACGCCGGGCGGCAATGTACAATTCTCGAAATCCCACCAAACAGAAACCTTAACGTTACGAACATCTTCTTCATTCCGTCGGGATTGGTAGGAAGAGTGATGTGAGGATTGGGATGTGGCGGTGGAGAAAGGGGCGAATTGGAAAAGCTTTTTTCTAGTGATTGTGGCGGAGTCCTTCGTAGAGTGGAGAATGATGGTAAAGAGGGGTCTGGAGAAGACAGGTTTCATCTTGCTGATAACTTGGTGTTTCTTTCAGAAGATCGAACAGGATGTAGGAGAAGGCGATGGAGTGCTTGTTTCATTTCATTTCATTCCAATGGAGTTTCATCTCGTTCTAGAAATGGAGATTTTTTCTTCAATGGGTTTAGGCTCAGGGAGGGAAATCTAAAACCCTAAATCACGCGCACTTCACGTCAGACTGGTTGGCTTTAGGCTTGTCAAATGGGCCGGGTCTAGGCCCGGACCCGACCCGGACTCGGTTGTTTTTAACGGGTGTGAGTCTATATTTTATTCTGTTTACTCGGATCTTGACTAGTTAGTATTTTTAATAAACGGGTCGGGTACATAACATATGATTCCGACATGTTAAAGATTCAGACCCGTTTAAAATTTCTTATTAGTATATATGTACATATATACATATGTACTTAGGAGTAATACATAAATTGATTAGTTATAATACTTCAATCAAAACATACGAAGTACAAACTAATATTTATACATATATATATATATACCCATACATACTAACACATACTTGTAATTCTTCAATTACAAAAATACACACTAATCCATACTTCGTACATACTATATAGTGATATTGATCGAGATAGTTTTCTTTCTTTTTTCTTTTTACTCCAGGGGGTGTATGGAGAGGGGGCCGGGGGGAGCCTGGAGTAAACTGGGTTGAAACTCACTTCATTGAGTTTCGAACCTGAGACCTCCCATAAGGGAGAGTGAGTCGGCGACCAGCTGAGCTGGACCGCTTCCTCTATCGAGATTATTAAATGCCCTAAAACTAATATTCCCTCCGTCCCAGTGGACTTTGCCAAGTGCAAAGTAGGTAAGAAATAAGAATAGTAAAAACTGTATGATTGAAATTTGTGCAGAGGAGAGAGAAACATGCAGAACCACAAATTAGTTGCTTTAATGGGAAAGTGACAAAATTTTTTGGGCCAACAAAAAAGGGAAAGTTGGCAAAGTCCAATGGGACGAAGGGAGTACTTATTTTGGCCGTTTATATATAGTGATAAAGTGTGTATTGAGCTCGTTAGGCAAAGTCCAATATATATTGTTATTAGCATGATTATATCATATATTATTAACATGATTATATCATTATCAAATATAATATGTTTTGATCCTCTCAAAAGTCCAAGAGACTTTTTGTGACTTAACTTCTAGTCTAATCTACCAGCTTTCACTATGAGAGAAAGAGACACAGAGTGTGAAGTTGTACGCCTCTACAAGAATTGATACTTTATTGGATAAAAGTATTAATTTTCTATGAGAAATTTTGAATATTTTGAAAAGTGAAGATATTTTGTCACAATGTTTGTGCACATTGCTTTACATTTCATATGAATGTCTTACTATGTACTCCCCCTGTCCCTAAAAGAAGTTCCATTTCACTATTCAATTGGTCAACTTAAATCACTCTTAATCTCTTACTTTTTATATCAAAATTTTATAAAAGTTGAATTATTTTTTGCAGGCTTTGTAGCGGGTTTAATGTAGTTTCTGAATATGTAAATTTTATTTACTAAAAATAATCCGAGTTTTCACAGGGATCATTTAACTTTATCGTCGGTCAACCTTCGTAATCCGCAATTGGAACAACATTTAGGGACGGAGGGAGTATTATTTTCACAAAATTTTTAATGTTGTGCATATCATAATTGTTGGTCAACCCGACCTGACTCCGATACCCGTTGGGTCCGGGTCCAAACTTTCAGACCCGCCAGGTATACGGGTCAGGTCAAAGTCCTTGATTAACTTAGCGGTCCAGGTCTGGAAGACTACATTCTGGCCCGGAGCCAAACCATTGACACACGCCTATTTGGCTAGCTGCTAATCATGGCTAGGCAGCATTTAGAGTTCGGGCTTATAACCCGATTCACATGATGGGAAGCTCTTCAATACTAAAGTTGTTTGAAACTTCTGTTTCTTTTTTAAAAGCGAGTTAGAATTGGTTTTTCAAAACTCTATCTTAATCGAATCGTCTGTCTGATTTAAGTGATATTTGTATATTGGATTATTTATTCAACATGCTGAATAAATGATCTGAATTGAGTAAAATAATCAATATGTTATGATTCTTGTGTTATAATGTTAATGAAAATTACACTAAATATTAACATAAATCTATTCCACACCCGGTTTATGAAAATCGATGGAAAAGACGTCTTAATGGGAAGGACTATTGATTTCAACTTAATGATTGAGTCAATTTTTTTACTGAATGATTAAGTCATGTTTTCTATTAAATTCTAAGTAAATATGACTTATTGATTAAGTTGGTGTACTTATTAAATCTATTAAGTCGAAAGTAAAAAACTTTTTGGCCGATTAGACCATCTAAAATATTAGATATTACCCCCATAAGTTGTTTCTATTGTTAATATTATGGTAAATATATATCAGGTGTATATTAATGCAAAAGATGATATGCCCAAGATGCAAGAGCAAATCAAATCACCTTACACTTGAAGATGCCATTATGACTAAGGTCCTCTTGCTTCTAATTAAACAAATTGAGAAATTCAGTATCAACAACTAAACCAATAAAAAATGAGAATAAATATTGAAAAATTAAGCAAAAACAGTAATCAAGTAAATCAATTAAAATTGAAAAACTGGATGCAAATCATCTTCATGCAACTCGTTCGTGCAATTAATTTGACTTAACGAAAAAGCAAAGATTTAATCAAATTAATTAAGCACCCGTCACTTCTACTAATCTGAAAACCTCCTGTTGTGGATATAAATTTATAATATTCAGAAAATAAAAATGTATGTATAAGACAAAAATATTTTTTCTGACAAATTAAAATTACCATAAATTTATATATAAACGGGTGGAATTAAATAGCTAATATGTTATACTGATACACAATATAGAAATAATAATGTTTGACTAAAAAGAGTAGGCTTTAATTATTTAAATTTGTATTATTATTTAGACTATAATAATTATTGAATAATGATAATAAATTTATGACCAAATTAAAATGAAAGTGGTACTCAAAAATATGACAATTAACATGCAAGTGAGTAAGTGACCATGTCATGCTTTGTACTTGGACAAAAATTAGTTGATATGTTTTGTACTTGGGTAGTTTTAAGTTATAATAAATAAATAAATAAAATATTGTTATTCAAAAAATGTACAAAGCAAGTCTAATTTGAGTTTTTTTTTTACCCAGAACAATGATTTTACCACAATTTGTTTAAGGATGGGCAATTGCCAATTGGGCATAGAAAAGCTCAAGTTGTAGAGGTATATGCATCCTAGCAAGTAGCAAGTGTTTATGTTTAAAGGATATGGTGCGCGAGAGAAGGCCACAATGGTATTTCCTCCTGAACCAGACAAAGAAAGGAAGGATGGAGCACCCCATACCATGAAAGCAGTAACTTCAAATACTGTTTTGTAGTAGAAAGTGAAGGGCTCAGTAGAGACGTGGACAATGGAAGTCAATATATAGATTGCAATGTTCTAAATCTTTTAACCCCACTTAGCTTCCTTGATTATTCCTGGGTGAGTGGGTGACTTCAAAAAAATGTACTAGAACAAGAGACAGGGGTGCTTCCCTCAAACCAAGATGTCGTATGAACCTATAAGGGGATTCAGCGAAGTGGGTTAGAGCCGGTGGGCCGGGTGGGGAAGCCTAGAATATATCGATATGGGGGTTGAAACTGGAGAAAATTATATGAGGGGAACAAACATTGACATTTGAAAATGTTTTTCTAGATAGGGGGCGTAGCTCACATAGTAGGAAGAGAGTGCCACAAGGGAGAGATCACGGGTTTAACTCCAAGCAATGACTTAGATAAAGTCTCAATCTCTTTCCATTAGAGTGAAATCAAAGCTCAATTTACATCCTCCCAGCTAGCTGTCCGGATGGTGCTGGGTCCCTCAAGGATGGGGTATCATCTTTTGTTTTTTTTTTCAAAATGTTTTTCTAGAATAGTATTATACGCAGTATATAAGTAATTTTACTTGAAAACAAGTAAACCATATGTGGACACACACTTTACGAGTAATATACATAAAAACCCTTGTGTGCTTAAATAAATTTTACCATTTAGGCACACATACTATTTTCCATTTCGAAAAATCTAAGGTTATCTCTTTTTACCATTTGGAAAAATCTCACTGAAATTATCTCATCCCAAATTTAGTAAAATTTATGTAACTTTATATCATTTTTACTTTATAAATTTTAGGGGTGAACAAAAATACCGAACCGGTATGGTACCAAACCAAAAAACGAGTTTGAAACGGATCTCAAATTTTTTGTTCCGAACCGGGCCGTACCGGTTCTAAACAATGCCATGATCGGTTCTCATAAAATGAGAACCGCTACCGTATAGGGATGGACCCGGGCCGGGCCGGTCCCGGTTCGGGTTTGGGCCCGGCCGGACTTTTGTTTGGGAAGTAGGGAACCGGAACCGGCCCGGGTGACCGGCGGTTCCGGGCCGGTTTCGGGTTCAACGTTATTTTTTTTTTCTAAATTACACCTGACCCCCCCCCCTCACCCCCCACCACCCAACCCCCTCCCCCCAAAACACTCATCCCTACCCGGTAGAAACCAAAAAAACTTGAAATAACAAAAAAATGGCCCGAACCGGCCGGGCCGGTTCAACATTTTCAAGGCCCGAGCCCGAACCGGGAGTTGAGTGGTTCCGGTTGGCCCGAACCGGCCCCAAGACCGGGTACCGGGCCGGACGGCCCGACCCGAGTCCACCCCTACTACCGAACCGGACCAAAGTATTTATAATTAATTAAATTTACATTTATACCATTACATTGACTAGTACCTTCACACTTTCAACTCCTTTGCTAGTTCATAGGAAGTCTGGAACCGGATCGATGTAATGTTTAATTATTTAAATTAGTACTACTATAATTTATCTGAAATTTATTAATTACGGAGTATGTAATACTATCTCAGTTCCAATTTCCAAATTGATTTGCAAAATTAACGTTTCTTGATTAAATAGTTTCATTTTATTCAATTAATAGGGATAGGGCTGGACTCGAGCCGGTTCGGGCCTGGGCCCGGCCGGGCCTAGGGCCAGGAAAGGGGAGGCCCGAGCCCAAACCGCCGGTGGCCGGTTCCGGTTCCGGGCCAAACCGGGCCGGGCCGAACCGGCCCAATTATTTTTTTTTTTGTTCTCCTATTTAATCCCCTATCCCTCCCCCTCAACCCTAAACCATCCCAAACCACCTCAAATGGCCCAAAATACCTAATCCAACCTAAAACTTAAAAAAATTCAAAAAAAAAAAAAAAAAATCCGGCCCGGACCGGGCCCGAACCGGCCGGGCCGGTTCACCAAAACCTGGGCCCGAGCCCGGACCGCCCAGCACCCGGGCCGGGCCAAACCGAACCGGTGGACCCACCGGGCCATGGGCCGGGCCGGGCCAAACAGTGACTGGGCCGGTTCGGTCCCAGGTCGGGCCGCCCGGCCCGAGTCCAGCCCTAAATAGGGATGTCAAATTTGAATTATACTACCTCCGTTCTCTTTTAATTACAACATTGGACTTTTTGCATTATCCACATATTCTACTTTAACTATATTTTATTTATTATTGAATTATGAATTAAATTCCTCTCATGATAAATTTTCAGAATCTAATTTTGTACTAACAAGGAATAAAAAATATTAACGGTCAAACTTGTGCGTTGACAAACGTGAAAAGTGGACCGTTGCAATTAAAAAAGAACAGAGAAAGTATTTAATTTCCAACTTTGAAGAGATTTTGATATAATTTTATAATATGTAAGTTTTAATTGTTAAAAAATTGAACTAAATATCAATAAAAAGGATTTAACTCAACATTAGTTGACAAAAAAATATTGACCTTGCATATCAATTTGGGACGAAGGGAGTATGAAAATTGATAAATTGTGTGAATTTTCGGAGGATGATTAAACTTTAAAATAGTGGCATTGTTTGATAATTGATATTGGTTTGACATGGTAGTTGGTACCATCCATTTGAAAATGGAACTGTACCGAATGGGTTTATGGGTTTATGTCTAAGATCGAATCGAACCGAACCGAACCGTTTGAACAGTAACGGTACAGGTACGGGTTCGGCCAAATATTGGACCGGGCCGGAACGGACCGCGCCCACCCCTAATAAATTTAATATCAACCACTTTTCTTCATAATCGCGTCACCCCTCTTCTCCTACTTCAATGACAGGAGCTGAATCAGAAAGCCCTTCTTGTCCCAATGTTAGTGGGCAAAGATGGTACTTTTTAAATGTGCGCCTTGAATTCCTCAACTTTAAATTAGGTACAGTACATATATAGATAGTCATGGAAGGAATACACTTTATAGGCAGCAATTCAGTGTTAGTAATTGATCATACATGTAAAACAAATATTAGCAATTGAACTGATAATACCAAAACCAGGCAAAAACTCGTCTCAATCTTGACACAGAATATCAAGTACATTACTGCCAAATGTAGGCCCCTGAAACTCGATCAGGCTGCCCCTTTGAACTTTGCATCATACTCGTAGGGTTGCTGCATAGTAAAAACCCACAAAGATTAAAATCACATTGTCACAATGAAATGCTTGTGATTAAGGCAGACAAATATCATTTTACCAAAAAGATGGCAGACACTGATCTGCGAGCAAACCATCTTTTATGCATTGCTAGTTGAGCACGAGCTGAAGACTCCACACTATCAAACCTTAAGTAGACATATCCGCCACTATTCCTGCAAGTAGAGAAAATGTCTAGTTTAAACAGAAGTATATTTATGGGCAAACCCAGGCTTGTTATGAATTATATGTGCATGTATGGAGAAAATGCAGATTGTGTTGAATACTAGACTGATGATTTTTTTTCACCAAATACATCATAAAATCAAGGGCCATGAAAATCTGATTAACATATAATCTGTGGTAGTGTACTTACTTTTCCACATGGATATGTTTCACAGTGCCATACTTTGAACATTCTTCGAAAACATCTTCCTTAATTTCCAAATCAAAGTCCGGCTCTGTCTGCGGAAACCCATAATTCAGTTCATAAAATGAATAGACCAAAACAATCAACATATTAAACAATTATTACAAGAGCAGGGTAAAATGACAAATCCCACTATCTAACTACCTCCAAAACTGGATCAAACATATTCTTCAACAATAAACACTCGCTGGGGGTTCCAATGGGTTCAGGTATCATGGCAAAACCTTGAGGAAAGATTGTGGCTGCAATAGCAGGGGACCCACTCATAGGCAAACTCATACCTGGAACCTGTGGTGGGGCTGCACCATTAACCCCAAGTGAACCTGTAATGCTGCAAGAAATGGCACAGGAAATAGAAAATGAGGAAGACGCCACCATACCCCCCCCCCCAAAGACAAAGAAATAATGCACAGAAAGACACCGAGAAAGAAGCAAGAGTAAACCTGGAGGCTATGCCGCTCCGATCCAATTTCTGCATCAGCATTGCTCTTGACTGTGCATTTAATGCCTAACACATGAAGAGAGAACTGATCAGCTTTAGTTACTGAACTTTACAGTTTTTTTTTTTTTTTGCTTTTTGAATGACTATGGAAAGCATAATAGGTATAAACCATTGCATGGACCATGAGGAAGATGGATTAGCATAAAAGGTGAAGCGTATAAAAAGTCTCCCTCTAAAGGAAGTAATTAAATTATCGTGACAGTAATAATAATATACCAGTCCACCTCCTTCATCGTCATCAAAATCTGCCGTTTTAGCTGCCGAGTCTTGAGCAGCAACATGTTCAGTCACAGATGAAACCTGCATTAAGAAAATGCTATAAAAACCACCACTAATATTGTACCAAAACCAGGAAAACAGATGATTCCACTCAATAAATTGTGTATGATGTCATAGAAATGTCCATCAGCCTCATTAAAAACCTTAATTGTACGACCAGCAATCTCCAGTTTCCCATTCAAACTCTGTGCTGCTTTTGCATGTTCAATTTGAGCAAACTGCAAATGAGGCAATAACAAAGGGTTACATTCTAAAACAAATGAAAAAAACCCTCACCAAAAGATTAAGAAATGTAGTCATGTTTCATTAAGTCAAATACCGACTTGAACAAAGCCAAAACCTTTGCAATGCCCAGTTTCTGGATCTGTAGGTAACTGCACAAGCTCGACAGGACCAAAAGATTCGAAAATCTGGAAATAGAAGATAATCTTCATAAGACAATGCAAACGCAATATATAAAATTAATATAAAGCAAAAGGTGAAAATACATTTGCAATTAATATAATCTAATAATACACCATGTCAACAACATCTAGGCATGCAAGCACCTTGATAAGTTGATCTATGAGAAATATTCTCATGAAGTCATGATAGTAAAATTTAACCTCACAGTTTCGCACCATAAAACAAAATCTAAGTAGCACGGAAACTGGAAACGTTGGAAACACCATTTTTTCAAAAAATACAGCAAACGAAACATGGGGGGAACGTGTAAATATAAAAATTATAGGGGTTATTTTAGAAATATTATATATATGTGAGTGTGTATGTATACATACAAACATGCCACTAGAAAAACAAAAAATTCTATATTATAGAACGGCATGCACAATTAAAGATGATTTACAATTTAACAAAATATAAACAATAAGCACAATAATAACTAAACAATGCCCATAAATAAATGATAATGCTGCTTCAATACACCTAAATAATACGGAGTGCACACATTCGGAAACGTGCATACGTTTCCGGTACGGGGAAACTCACCCCCCCTGTGTTTCCGTGCGTTATAGAACACAATTCATATATGTGTGTACATGTAACTCAGGTCCAAGACCGGACCGGTTGGACTGGAACCGGAATTCTCAAAAAAAGTGGACTGAAGATGGGACCTATATTATTCTGGACCAGGACTAAACCAGATTATTCCGGGGGTTTTGGACCAGACCAGTATTGGACCGGATTTTAGTTTTATTATTTTTACAATATTTCATCTTTTAAAAAATAGTTTTGTATGTCCACAATTTACTTATTAGCTCGTTGTTTCTATTACAGAGTATTATTTTATGATGTTTTATATGTCCTTCTAGTTTATTCTTTTATATGTATGATTTGCATTTTAATGTCTCTTTCAATCAATGTAATATACATATTTATTATATTGAAGTCCGGAACCGGAATCGGTAAAGCCCTTGGACTGCAGACCAAACCGGATTATGCTCAACCCTATATGCAAATGTACATATATACTATATATGTATGTCTGTGTCGTGTGTGTAAGTGTATGTATGTATGTGTGTATGTATGTGTGTGTACATGTGTGTATATGTAATACTACATATTTTTGTGTTGTTTCAAATAACCTCATTCATACTGACCTAAGGTATCAGGCTTCCCTTAAAATGGGGAGGGAAGTCCATGAAGACACATCATAATCATCGACATTTCCATTCAACTTAGAACTCTATACTCAGTCAAATTTACCTGTTTAAGGTTTAATTCTGTCATGTTGAAGTGCAGATTTCCAACATACAATTTCCTTTCTGAGGCAGCATATGGCCCTGTAATACCTGCCACACCAGTAGTAGTATTTGATTGAACGAGGTTTTTTTCAGCTTCTGAAGGTTTAACCATAACAGGCTGTCCATGCAATAAGCGCCCAGAAATTGCAATTGCCATTGGTACAGACATGGCATCATAAAATTCAATATACCTAAAATGTCGAGAAGAAAAGTTAACTTGGTTATTTAAAACAACTAGAATACAAAATTTACAAATCATGTGTATGAAACATGTCTTTGAAACTGAGAAACCAACTAAAGAGGTGCCAAATGATGCATGCCTGCATGGTACTGCGTGTTTTATAATGGACAGGGAAACTAAAAGTCCTCAATAATGAAAATCTTAGTGAAATATATCCACAAAATACAACCTGGAAAATTTCAAATAAAATATGCAAATATTTGGAAGAAATTAACTGTAAATATTCAGCGGAAAACAACATACCCAACTCCTTTTGATCTTCTTGAATTTCTGTCCATGATCAAACGTACATCCCTCACCTGGAATGAGAAGAGAATATTAATATTAATATAATATAATCGCAAATAATAAAGTTAACTAGAGAGCCTTTGGCACATTCATACAGACCATGAAACCTGCAAGCGGCCATGAATAACAAAATCAGTTATAAACTACCAAAAATTCCTTTTAATCTAGCCACAGTGAAAGCATTGGCAAAAAATACTGCTTAGCTTAGCCTACCTAAAACTGAAGCAGAGTTGCGGAGATATATTTTCCGGGTCAGCAAGGACATGCACATACAGTATATGGAGGCAGATTATGAACCAAACAATGAAACAATATAAAACAATTTTTTGCTCATAAACATCAAGTACCACTTTACATTTTTTACATACCTAGACTTGACCACTAAACAACATCTAATTACCATATCCATATCCGCAATTACTATGCTTGTTGCTTAGAGATTGATAAGGAAAATGGCATTCGCACTAACCTTTCCAGCTTGTGAGAAGAACTCATATACATCCCTTTCAGTTGCTTTCAAGGGCATCTGCATGAAATTATAAATACAATTGTGAAGCTCATCAAGTAAATATCCTCCTCCAAATATATATATATATATGACCTAAATGTGCCGAACTGGTTTAATAATTATAATAATAGTAATGATAATGGTAATGCTTTTAAGGTGTTGTGGTAGAGAACTTACCCTGGTGGCAGAAAAGTAGAATATGCACATAAGGAATAAGAAATTAAAAACAATGTACCTGGTAAGCAAACACGGTTCTTTGATCTCTTTCTGGATCAGCCTCTGGCTCCACTGTCTCCTTCTTGTCCTTAAATCTCCTACATTAATTACTTAGAGCATAATAAGTATAATGAATTAAATAGTCCAGTTTTAAATGTGCAAACAATTATATTGACCTTTGATTTAATGCTGAAGAACTACCCTTACACTTGATTCCTTTTTCTACTACAAAGCATACATCCAAACAAACCGAGTAACCTAGAATGCAAAGTTTTAATGGCTAAAAAAGAGAAAGAAAACGGATGAACCCATCTCACCATCCATGTGAGAAGATAAAAGATATCCAACAGGTAATAGCTGAGGAGATTTTAATGTAAGAGTTACCAACTTACCACTAATAAACTCAATCTGTTATTGTGTTAACGAAATCGATGTTTATGTGCATGCTACAGAATGTTGGTGGTCAAGGATAGTTGTATCATCAATATTTTTGTTTTGCCATATCAAATGAACTTCTAACAAATGATAAACACTTGAAAAAGATACATTATCTACTAATACAAGTTACAACTAGTAGTTACTTCATCAAGTAAGTCAAATATTGTTGTTTACTCTTCACGTTTGATTAGCGATTTGCCTTACAGGAAATCACAGGAAATCACATTAATATAATTATTTTGGACTTCAACTAACAAGGGTTGGCTGACTTATAGAAATGCAACTCAGCATTGAATTACAATTAATTGCAAGGAACTAAAGTGAGACTGAGAACAGCTCTCTACAAACAATGTTTAAACATCTCAAAGCATCTGACAACAAAGCAAAAAATCTACAATTGGACCGCCAAGACATCAACTTTTTTGGATAATTATCCCTGTTTGTACAGGAAATGGAGTTAAAGCATTTTCGCCTTCGTAGTGAACAAAAGGTTGAAAAACTGATACAGCATCACACCAAATGCATTGCCAACCTAGAAATCCAATACATCTTGAATCAGATTTAACAAAGTAACCTTAAATCCAACTTCACAAAAACATCAAAGGATTTTAGAGTGAGGCAAAGCTTAAAGGTCAAAAACAGAAACTTAACAGACCTTTTCAGACTCATTATGTGGAAAAGCCACTTTCTTCATTGAAGCCTTGAGGGTTTCCGCATTGTTAGCCCATTAAGACGAGGAAATAATCCATCTACGATTTCAACCCAAGTTAGATATTACATCCCTCTGAGTGTAGACAGCTAGACAGAATTTTTTTCATTAAATTTTAGTCCTATTGTGTTTCAACCTACTCAGCAAACACATGTAGTCGAACTTCAGCTAGATATTACCTGAAACCTCTTTTTCATCACAATATTTCTCTAACAGTGAGATATAAAAAATATTACTTGGCACATAATAGGAATCAAGGAGAATCCAGCATCCAAGTAAGATTGAACTAATACAGCACCAAGTAGTAAACCTCAAACATATATCAATCCAGCAACTTTCAATAAGAAGAAATTACCATCACTTAGATAATGATGCAACATATCTGTATAACTAATTTATCAGCGTCATCCTTGAGAGAAATCCATGAATCAAAAGAATTTGATATGACTTTAAAATGCAACCATTCAAACTCAAATAATACCATGAAAGGAAAACCAATGCAATGATCATATATGAACTATAAATAGCGAAGTGAAAGATCACCTGCTATCTCTTACTTCAAACTCACGCTCGCGCTCTCTAATCAATTCTCGCTCCTTTTCACGGTCAAGCCTTGAGCGGCTGCGACTCCTCCGCTCCCTCTCTCGATCCTTCTCCTTATCCCTGTCTCTTCTTTCCCTTTCCTTCTCTTTCTCCTTATCCCTATCTCTTCTCTCCCTATCTCTATCTTTATCTCCATCCTTATCCCTTTCCTTTTCTTTATCCTTGTCCTTGTCTCTCTTCTCCCTATCCCTTGAGCTCCTCCACTCTTTGTCTCTATCCGGCTCCCGCTCTCGACTCCTGTGCCGCGAAGACCTCTCCCTATCTCTATCCCTGTCCCTGTCCTTGTCTCTAACCTTCTCCCTGCCGTTCTCCTCATCCCCTCCACGAGATATTCTACTGCTCTTGCGATCTCTGACGTCTTCATCAGCTATATCGTCGCTCTCATCCCTTTCCCTCCTCCGGTAGCTTTTCTCACTCTTCTCCTTCTCGTAGCTGTTCTCTCTGTCCTTGTCCTTGCTCTTCGAGGATGGACCGTTGGTCTCTTCCACGGTCTTCTCCAGATAATCATACTCGTCAAAGTCCATTACCACCCAGTACGCTTCAAGCCTTCAACAAATGGCGGTTTGTCGGAAGTACGAATCAATAAGTTCGTGTAACGATTGAGTGAAACCCTAGATTGCGATCTTCCGTGAGGGTTTTCTTAAATTTGAGGATACGGCGACGTGCTCAGTGATAAGAAGGCAGGGTGGGAGTGGGCTGGTAATTTAAGATAAGATGCGAGGGTAATAGCGGAATGACAGTATTTGGGGGCCTATTGGAAAAAGGATCTCAAAGACTCAAACAAGCATCCAACCCACATTCTATGTACTTTTTTTTTAAAAAAAAATTACATTCTATGTACTTGAAACTTGAAAGTTGAAACAATAGATCCTCGAACTTTCATAAAAAGATTAAATAAGTCCTTATATATGAGGCTCTGTCCGGCCGTCGCGATTTGGGGCGGTTCCCGGTGGAATTTTTTGATGAAATTTTTTGAGCATCTTATTCATCAAGTCTAGTTTACTCATACTAAATTTCAGCTGAAACTTCAATCGGGAACGCATTCAAATGAATTCTTGAAGATAACTGCACAGTTATTTTCAAGAGTTAATTTGAATGTGTTCCCGATTGAAGTTTTAGCTTAAATTTGTATGAGTAAACTAGACTTGATGAATAAGATGTTCAAAAAAATTCATCAAAAAATTCCACCGGGAACCGCCACAAATCGTGACGACCGGACAGAGCCTCCTATATAAGGACTTATTTGATCTTTTTATGAAAGTTCGAGGACCTATTTGACAGTTTTCCCTAATTCATCCCTTCTTTTTAAGTTCTTTTCTAGCATGAACATTTTCATTTTCCCGTTTACTGTCAACACAATTTTGATCATTGATATAATTAATCTTCAAATTACTCCGTATAAAAATATAAATATACACATTTTGTAAATTTAAAGTGAGGAGAATTTAATTATTATTTTTAAATAAAATTTTAATATTTTCGTAAATAAAAAATAGTCCAAGTGGAGCGCGTGAACAATGTAAAATTTCTAATGTATCAATTATTTAAGAATTGAGGTAGTAATGCCTCCCTCAAACATGGCTAAAGAGTATAATAACTACATCTTGTATACTAAATTTGAATAAAAATGTGTTTTAGCGTGAAAAATGAGGATATTTTTTGCACATTGGAATTGATATTTGATGGCTTTAAAATCACATACATTAGATTGGGTTAAAATGTGATGGTATTTTCGTGAATAGGTGAACATTTTTGCCATCGCCAAAAAATGCATCATTTGAACATAAAAGTGCAGTGTAGGCATGTAAAAACAACAACAACATCCAAGCCTTAGAATCAAAAGATATTGGGGTCGGCTAACATGAATCGATACATGATATCACCACCAAAAGGAAAAGAAAGAAAATAAAGATAAAAAGATAAGCTATTATAAAAAAATATAATATAAAATGAGATTAATATACATAAATATGATAAAATAAAAAGGATTAAAATAATGTTTATAAATATAAGGGTAAAAGGATGAAAAAGAAAACAAGAAAAAAAGATGATGATGCAGTGTAGACGTGTAAAGTGAAAATTTCACACTTTTCACGTTAAACATTTTATTGAAATTGCACTTCTATATTGCCTCCATTTTTGTGTTTGCTGCATGTTTTTGGGGGATGTTTTAATTTTTATTAAGCTTTTCTTTTTAATAAATGTTCGTTTTCTTAACTACCTATTGAGGTTTTGTCCCATAAATCCGAAAGTCCAACACACGCTTTGGATATTAAGGACGTGGGTCTTGGTCAGAAGGGTGTATAAAATATAAATTTAAGAATGGACTCAAGAGCTAAACGTATTAAGTAATTCCGCGATTACAATGTAATTACCCGAACAGCACGTCGGAATAGTGTCTGACACAAGAACTAGAATGACCATTCTATTGCTAAGCTCTGGGTCTCAAAATGCTAACCCTTTACAATGTATTCAATGTGGGTTGTTGTGTACTATTTAGTAGTGCATAAACAACACATTTTAGAATGGTTTTACATTATGTTTACTCAGCTTTTGTACAATTACGGTGTAATCTTTATCGTCCAAAATTAAAGTATAATTAGAAGATATTAAGATATTTTGACATGTAAGCAAAAACATGATGAAAAGAAGAGGATATCAGTTAAATTATTCAAACACAAATTAAACGGCATTCATGCAATCAAACCAACAAGAATCTAGCCATCAATCATGATTAACCCCTTCATCAACCCCAAATCCTTAATTAAAGTACTCACAATTAATACTTGAAGAATCATCAGAATTGGGAATAATAGAATAAATTGTCATTAATTAAAAAGAATGAACTTACAAAGAATCCCAGGTTCTTAGAGTAAACAAACGTAAAAGCGCAAGTAAATTCGTCCCTAGGCCTCTCTGTAATGTTCGTAACCCCCAAAAAGGGTTAGGGAGGCCTTATTTATAGAAAAAGGGGGAAAATACAAATTCTGGCTGAGTTGGGAATTAAGTTAGCGTAATACGGGGCTACGCACGATCGTGCATCCCTGGCTACGCACGATCGTGCGTAGCAGGCAGTAGCTTCTCCGATTTTCAGCTTTCACGCACGATCGTGCGTCCCTTCAGGCACGATCGTGCGTGGCTTGTTTTTCACCGTTTCTCTAGTCCGAATTTGACAAAACTTCCTTCACTAAAGTTGTATATAATGAAGTCCTATATCCACCACAACTTGCGGAATTGGATTTGAATCATCCAATCAAGAGATATGAATAAAATGGTGGAAGACGGCATTCTGAAATCGCAACAGAGATCATCTGACTTCATCGTCTGTTTTCACCTTGCTCCTCTCAGATTCTCGCAATGGTGTCTTCATATGATTTGTATTCCTTGAAGTTGGATTTCATATGCAACTTGAAGCGTGTCCTTTGAATGCTTCTAGAAAGAGATATGCGTGAAATACTGATAGAAGGTCATCCTGATCACCGTTTTCCAGCTCTATTCATCTTCTTTTGATCCCGTAACCAATCCTAGAGATCTTTTGTCATCAAATCTTCACCGTGAACCTCCCGGTGACCTCCAAAGATCTCAAATCAATCTCGAATGCTTCTCGAATCATCCTGATTGCTCCTTAAGCGCCGGTGCCGAACTCTAAATTCCTAATTTTGACTCCAAATGACACAAAACTCGAACCAACGCCTGATAAACATAACTCGAGCTAAAATTGAGACTTGCAACACCTTAAAGCTAAGCAAACCATCAAAATTCAATCCCAACACGCATCAAATGCGTGTTAAAATACGGACTTATCAATGAACGCGTCTTGTTATTAATAGTTATTCCAGATGAATCGGAATTTCTCCGCAATTAAGTATTTAAGAGGAATAATTAAAGTAATAACAATGATCAACGAGCATTTCACTAAGTGGAAATTAGCAAAACCAAGACTAATTACCTTTGATATTGTATTTCAGTCACTTAAGTATTTTATTTGCTTTCTCAATTATCAAAATATCCAATTCACCCTTTCGTTTACTTTTATTAATTATGCTTACACATACGCGAAAAGCACTTTTCCCTGTGGATACGAACTCTGCTACGTTATTCTACGGTATTAGCCCTTAGTAGTGAATTTAATTTGAGGCACACTACGACAAAGTGCTCGTCACAGGTATTTCTACTAAAGGGGGGGATAAGTGGGATGATGACGTGGCGGAACCCGTTGATTGCTGCCTCTGCCACCTTTGCACACATGCCTCCACTTGCTACTGCCACACTTTAGCATTAAATGCGGTTGCCACTTGGGTGTGGCCCGTTCGGGTATCTCATTCGGGGTTCGGGCCCTATAAGCGGATGCCTGAGCGCTTGACACTTTGCTAATTGCCCCAAGTTGTATTAATAACCCGAATGCCAATCGGGTACTGTCTTGAATGACTTTCCTTATATTCTTTGGATGCGCTGGGCTTGCTCTTCCCCTTGGGCTCCTCTCTGTTTTGGGTCGGGTATATTGGGCTTTGGCCCAATATCCCAACACGAGTCCCCCACTTCCGATGCCTCGAATGGTAGTGAGTGCATAAGGAAGTAGAATAACTGCTAGCACGTTGTTCGGGTACATGATGAACGGGATCTCGCCAGTTCCCGATGCATAATCTTGATGCTTTTCTGCGGCTGTCGTTTCAGTTTCTTGATAACCGTCATGATTACTTGTTGGTGCTTCTCCGCATGACACGTGTTGCTATAATCATGTTTAGCGACGTGTCTTCCCCTGATTGGTTGGGGAAACAGTGTTGTCGGGCTATAAATAAATCTTTTGGCATTCGGTTCTGAGTTTTCAAATTTTGCTTCCCTCGTGCCGTTGCTCTGCCTTCTCTCTAAGGCTCTTCTCATGCTTTTTGCTCAGGTATTCCTTGTGCCTTCTCGCTTTTTCTTTTCTTGTTCGGTTAGCATGGCGCCTCGCCCACGTTCTTTCGATCCTTCTACCTCTGAAATGGTCCCTCAAGGGGAGGCCCAAGATGTCGTGGCAGAAGATGCCAACGTAAATGCAGAGGTTTCCGGTGATGACTCCGGTGATGACACCTCCTCTTCTAGTGCTTATTCAGACGACACCAAATCCGGTGATGAGCTTGATTCTATGGAGGCTGGCCCTCCGGGCGATGATCCCCGCCATAAGTTTGACCTAGCTCTCATCAGGTTCTGGCGACAGAAACTTATTGCCCAAAAAAGGGCCCAAATTCCAGCCCTAATTCTTGACCCAATGGACTTTCGCCTCCAAGCCGGGCTCCATCCCATGCGCCATTTCCCGAGGATGGTGGTAGTCCATTTAGACTCGGTGAAAGTCGGGCTTAGGTTCCCGCTCCACCAATTCTTTGTTTCCCTTTTGAATTTCTATGAGGTGGTACCAGCCCAGATTATGCCGAAGTCTTACCGGGCGATGGCTAGATTTATCTGCCGGTGTGTGGAGGTCAAGGTGGCGCCCACTTTGGACCTTTTCCATTACTTCTACACTGTTATCCCTCAGCAAGCCAGGGGTATTTGGTCGCAAGTGCTCAAACGGGTCACATTCTATTTTCAGATTATCCTTGATCGATTAAGGGATGGACGGATCAGTTCTTCTTTGTCTCTGTCCCGAACGACCTCATTCCCAAGAAATGGAATGCCTTTCCTCCCAAGCCCCCTGAACCGTTCATCTCTGAGGAGCTCAGTAAGGACATCATCGCCGTGGAGGGTGCCAAACTTACAGGATCATGCCCTA